TTTTTGCAGAATATTCTGTATGTTATTGTTTTCTTCTTAGGCCGTCAAATCAGTCAAGGCCGAAGGATATCACATGAACAATGTAAAAAAAAATAATTTTGACAAATTAAAACAAAAAAAAACCATAAAAACAACAAATCGAAAGAATAGTGATTCGATGTAGCAAAAGTTCCGAAAGCATTCAATAAATATGATTTTGGTTTACGAAATGAAATAAGTGTCGAATGTAAATGAATTATGAAATTGATTTATAAAAAAAAATTAAAGAAATTAATTAAATACATTAACAATAAAAAAAAATTTCACTTTAATTCCGAGCAAGAACCGTAGTCACCTTACTCAGTTTCAATCGCAATTGCTAGAATAACAGTTACAATTGACACCTTTCAGTGACTTCCAGCGGCGAGACTAGCGATAATATATACGAATTTTGCATTGCAAACTGAAATCAATATGAACGAAAGACGAGAAATTCATCAAGATTGGCGTTTGTCCGTATTGTGCCCTTTCGAAAACATGCAAGCATGACCATAAACACTGAATACCGTGGCTTAAATTGTTCTGCAATTTATCTCAGGTGTGAAAATTTTGCCTTCAAAAAATGTGATGAAGTGAGAATTTGTTTTTTTTTTGGTTTTGGTTGTTTGTTATCATTTTAACTTACGAGAATTCGTCTAGTTTGTAAAGATATTCGATTTTTTTTTTCATTTTTATTTTAAATAATTTATAAAGTCAGTTTATTTCTGTTCTCCTTGAATTTCATGTTTTTATATGTTTTGTTACTCGAAGGGAATTGTTTTGGGTTTTGTATTTAATACGATAATTCATTGCTGATATGATATATGGTATGATTTTCAACGAAATTGACATTTAAATACAATAATTGACGAATAAAATTGATTTTTTTATTTTAATTTGTTCGTGTTTCAATGCGTTCATTGTAATTATTATTATTTTTTTTTTGTTCTCTAAATGTTCAACATTCATTGTTTAAGAATTGCTTCATTGAGATTTTCTCGGGCGAGACTTTTTGTAATGGATCTTTTTCGGCTGTGGAAAAATAGTCAATAAACACACAATCAATTTACATTATTTCGATTTTGTTTTGTAAATAAATTGTCTGTTTCTTAATATCTTGTCTGTTTAAAGAAAATGCTTGCTTATATACATAATTGCTTTTATGAAAATACAAATTTGGTCTCTACATCAACGCAAGAAAAATGTAACGAAGATTATTGAAACACATAATAAAAATCTTGTGCAAAAACGAACAGAAAATGATGCGGTTTTCAAAAAAAAAAAAAACGAATATATGCGATCAATGACGAATGTATCTTGTTGCCATTTTATATGAAGTGTTTGCAAAACTGAATTCAACGGTTGAAATGAATATGAAAACGAATGAAAACGAAATACAACAATACCACCAACAACACAAAAATCAACCAAATAACATGTAATTTACTAATGCATACGAATGAAACGAAAATGTGAAAAATCAGTTTTTCTATAAAAAAAATCACTATTCAAATAGTCAACTCACAACGATTTCGACTTTTTTTTAGATTTTCAATTTAGATTTGGAGATTTTGTTGTATTTTATTGTGTCTTATGCAGTGTTAAGATACTAGTTTTTTTTTAAATGTCTTTTTAAAACAAATGTTTTGGGCTTCTCTACACATCTGGTCCATATTCACAACATCTTCAAATTTCGACAAATGCACGTGTTTTCAATTGATAGAAGAACTCGTGGTAGAAATGAATTTACTTGGCGGCGTAATTAACATCAAATTGAGCATCAACCGTAAGCGAAACAGTATGGTCGAATGGTTCATAAATGTGATTCTGATCGAATTCTTGTATGATGGTTATGGAAGAGCAAGTAGATGTGGTCGTCGGTGTTGCACGTGAACATTCATGCTGTTGATGTTGTCGCTGTTTCTTCATTTCGATTTTGATAAATGAAAAACCATACAATCAGAGAAAGAAAAGGAAAATGAGCGATTTATATAGAATGTTTTATTTGGTGATGGTAAACATCATCGCCGTTAAAATTATTACACAGACGGAATTATAAAATGTGTGTTTTTGAATTTGGGTGGGATTTGTCGACAACATGGAAAAGTGCATTTTGAATTTTGGTTACATACTTTGCAATAAGCTTTATTAGCGTATTGTTAATACGGTCAAGAGACACTTACAAATTATCGTGAAATGTGTGCGACATTAATTTGGTTTCAAGCACAATTACTGTGAGGATCTTCAGCAACGGTGACGACAACACATGGCTTTATACGAAATTTTGTTCATCGTTTCTCTTGCAATTGGACAGTGAATTAGTACAAAATGATTAATTCCATACGATTGGGTATTATTGATTGTGCTCTCAAATGTCTAATTCAATATTGATCTACTGGATTTCGAGAAGCTTTTGTGTGTTTTGATGGAACGGAAGCGTTACATATACATAAATAGTCTGACCGATTTACGTGGAATAAAAAAAAACACAACAACAACAATGCAGCAATGTACACATTCGATTCAAATGTCTGTATACAAATGTGCAATTATCATAAATTGTGCGATGAAAATCGATAATGAATTTCAACTAACAACAATTTTACATTATATCGGAGCAAATAAAATCGGTCAGTATCTCAAATCATAATCTATTTAACGTAAAACAAATGGAATACATCATACTCATGCAGTTTAAATTGAGTTCAAAATAAAAATGAACCCGAATACGGGATTCATATCTCTTGATAATTCTGAATAATATCGTCACAAAATCGACGAGATAAATAATAAAATTTCTATAATAAATTGAATACGAACAACAATACAAATCAATTAAAACTCTGTATATTGAAGTATGTGACGTATGTGTGTGAGTGTTTATGTCTGATTGTGAGTTATGTGTGTGGTTTATCGGAATAGTAAATGCAACGCCAAAGTGTAAATATACTTGATTATCTCGAAATGAAATCAAATGGTAAAATGACATATATGCATAATTTTGTATCAACTGAAATCGATATTAAAATATATTTGGCTCGAATGAATACAAATAATGAGTTTTATTCATTAAATTCATTAAAATGTGATAACACTCAATTAAAAAAAACAACAACAACAACAACAAGATTCAGAGCCAAAACGAACGAACAAACTGATATTTTTCGGATGTGAAAAACGAAATAATATGAAATGTGGTACTTGAACTGCAATTAAATGATAATGACAAAGAAGATATACACCGAACGGAATCACAATGTCGAAAAACAGATTACTTACTTTTTTCTGTTTTATGCATGATTCGTAATTTATGGAAATCCAATGTGAATGATTTTGATGGTTTTTTTTTTTTTTTTTTTTTTTTTCAAAAAATTCAATTTGCATTCATGGTTTGTTTGGTTTTTGTTTTATGTATTATTTTTTTGTTCGATTTTGGGAATTTGATTGTTCGTTTTGTTTGTGGTTATTTTTTGTGTTCGTGTGCGTATGTTCAGTGGGAGGACGAAATTGGAATGAAAATAACAAAACATTAGTTAAATTGTGTTTTCGATTCAATTGAAATGTTACAATTGATATATGTTGAATTGGAAATGTGTTAAGGGCTTTTTATTATGTTAATGTTGTTGCTCACAAAAAAACTCGTATGAGCGAGTTGAATAAAAATCGTAATCTTTTTTACTTACCGTAACCACTCCTTGTCTGGTGTACTTGGTGGATGCAACATATGAATATTTAACTGTTAATACAACAGCATTCATCAAATTCTTGGCCGCTTGAATCAACGAGGTGGCACTGTCCAACTGAAAATGCAACACATACGAATCGAAATCAATGAAAATGCACATCATTTATTATATATTATTCGATTACTTACGCCAGACACAATCAATTCACCGCTAATATTTTGCACATCAGCTTTGACTTTCGATGTGATTTGAATTTGATGGCAATACAATGCAATACGTTGCAAATATGCCAATAAATCTTTCTTTGTACTGCTCTCAGGGCATTGGTCGGCAATTTCACGTGTTAGTTTATCCAATTTATTACCGGCTTCAGAAATCTTCTTGGCTGCATTAATGACATCCATTGTAGTTTTTAATGGACCTCGACCACTAAATAAGACAAAGAAACCGATTATAAAATAAATTGAAATGGCGTGAAATAAATTGATTTTTTATCGTTAGCTTCGAGTAAATACCGAGTAAAATCTGTCATTTCCATCATTATCATGCACATGTGCTTGGCCAAGAAGATAATGTCATTGCCGTTATCGTCCCATTTAGCAACCTCTGAATCGAATGTCATCTTTTCCTTTCGGAATAATTCAACCTGTTGAGCAATTTTCTGTTTATCTTCTTCTGTCATTTTACGCATAGCTTCCCGAGCTGTGGTAATGCCACTAATATCTGGATATTCATCAACAGTTCCTTCACCGGTGTGAACGCTTGCTGCACGAATTTTAAACAATTATTTTATCAATATTTGAGATCGAATTATTTCAAAACGCATTATAGTGCATCAAAAGAACAGTATACAAAACAAACAAAATAAAAATGAAAACTAAAAGAATAATGAATAAAAAAGACAATTACATCGGCTACGTGTTTCCATGGTTTGATCTTCAACCGGTTCGAATTCAGTGTCGGTGTCCAAGTCTTCGGAATTCTTTATCGGTTGAATGATCAGATGGCAAAAATAATAATCGAAGCAAAATATATTCAAAACAAAATCACAGGCACAGAGGGACAAATCGGCGAACACAAATTTAAACAAAAAAAAACGAAAAGAAAAACACAAAACAAACACAATTAATAATCGATTCAGTGGGCATAATCTTACATTTGCTTCTGGTTTCAATAGTATAATGTTCATCGAGTTCGACATCTTCTGGATCTAATTCTTCTTCCTCCTTTTATTTTTTAGCATATAATTGCAATTTAAATTGACAAAGTTTTTATTTTACATGTATCATGTAGCAATTATATTGAAAATTAAAGGAAAAATTCAATCGACACTACCGATTTACACCAAACAAACAAAAAATTCTTACCCGATTCATAAGCACAGCTCGTCGAATTTCACGAACACCATCGTAAACTAAACGCGATGCATCGATGAAATCATTGTCGTCAACATCTTTCGGTGGGTTCGATGACAAAGCATCCACTGCAATGTCAACGCGCTGAGCGAATTTCGACATAACTGTAACATGAATATAAAACAAAAACCAAATTTAAAAAAAACATCATGAACCTTGCAAACATCGTGCAATAAATGTTTACAAATAAATTTGAATGTCATACCTTGTTCACGTAAAACTTTAACTGCTTCAAGAACACGTTTTGTGTAAATGCATGGTTCATAATTGTCCATTTCAGCTTCAACAACGTTACAAACGCGTTGTGATCGCCCTTGAATGGCTCCGGCCGTGTTGCGCAATTCTTGTGCATCACCTTCTTGCAATGCAAACATGCATTTTTTGGCATCTTCCAAAATGTGATTCTCCGACACGGCCAAGAAATCATCAATTGTTGTAATGTCATCAACGGCTTCCGTTAATATACGCACTTGATTTTCCCATGCTTGTCGATAAGCTTCCATATTCTCTTGTGTAACTTTTGATGTATGCCGTGTTGCCAATATCATAGCAGCATTTATTACTTGCGGGCAAAGATTTTCAATTTGTGCGGCTGCATATCGTACCATTTTAACGCCATCTTCGTTATTTGACATGCTGCAAACCAAATTGGCAACTTCAATCAATTTTTCCGCATGCTTTGTAAATGCAACAGCACGCTCTTCAACCTTCTCAATTTTTCCATCTTTAGCCGCCTCAATTAGATCGAATAGTGGTGTTGTCGTTTCCAAAAATGAATCGGAAACATGATCAACTACAGCTTTGCGCAATTGACGACGCAAATCGCGAGTCTTCTGACACATCTGATTTATTGCCATGTCCAATGTTGAACTCTTTTCCTTTTGACCCATCTAAATAATCCAGTTTGGATTGGTTTTTTTTTTTTAATTTTTTTAAGAATAGGAAAAAATTTGACATTTGATTTTTTTTTGCGAATATAACTTACATTCGACATGTATGCCGATAGAAGATCTTGCAATGCTTGACGCACTGCATTACATTCGGCAACAATTCGTTCACGGCGTTCATCTCGTGTGCAATCCGCGTCAGCCATCAATGCAGCGGCACTTATAATGCTTTCCAAACGTTCTTCAAGCGATGGACGAGAACGAACTTCATTGTATGCCAATGGGTCCATATTGATTCCCTCCTGTGAAACAGAACAAAATCAGATTTATTTATTGAAATTTTTTTTATTTATCGATAGTTTCGATTCGATCAATAATTACATCAAAATCGTCCAAAGCAGCAGCGAGCTCACCGGCACCGCTGTACATATCGATCGGTTGGCTTGATTTGCCCTGTGCAACATCACTTATTGTATTGACAGCCTCGCACACTTGTCTCAATACTTGATCACGATTAATTTTGGCCAAATCCAATTCCGGATGACGAACATATACCTTGGATGCTGTTAACAACATTGTTGAATGTTTTTTTAGAACAGCACGTGCCGCAGCCAAATCATCACGTAATTGTGGATCTTTCAATTCTTGTTGTCGTTTTGCCGCCTGCTTTATCAATTCGTTGGCATTTCGTCCAAATTGCTGGTGCACAGATAATAATCAAATTACAGATGTGTCAATTTTACATTTTATTTTAATAACAATAATAATAATAGAAAACTATTTAAAATTGATTTTTTTTTTGAAATAATATACTCACTCGCATGTTATTTAATAGCTCATCTTGGCTGGATGCATTTCGTAATTTGTTCAAATCATCTTGAACGACATGCAATGATTTCAACAGAAGATGCACATCGACCATATCGGCCAAAACAAGTAAACGTGTTACAGCTGATAAAAGATTACGGGCAGCGCGTACCATATTACCACGTCTCAATGAACTGCATGGATCTTCGGAAAATTCACGTGCAGCTGTTCGCATGATATCACCGGTTTTACGCACCTCATCAACGGCCGTAAGCATCTCTTGTTTAATATCCGGATTTTCATTTGCAATTTGTTCGCCGCGTTCAATAAAATTTTCAGTCGCTTTTTCCACAGCCAACACTAATACACTTGCACGCTTTGATTTTCCTATTAAATTTTCAAAATGAGACACACACAAAAAAGACAATGAAACATGTCAACTCGTAAAATAATACATAATTGCGAATGTAAATGTAATACAACTGATGTAAATTGAAGAAGACAAAAAAAACACACACAGTTTTTCCCCTGAGTCATTGACCTATCTCACTTGAATTGCTTTAATGTCTTGTCACACTCATTGAACTGAGATGAGACGAAACCATTGTCACAAAACATAAATAATAATTTGTTGAAAAAATACATATAAATAAATTGCGAATATTTCCAACCAATACATTTGATAATTAGTAAAAAAGCTAGACGGAGAGCGAAAGGGAGATATAGATGGAGTGGGAGAGAGAAAGAGACAGAGGAAAAATACTACTACTATGTGCAATGAGTAAATCGATAGAAAACTTTGTTCACTATAGCATTAAATGCATTTTCCTATTGCATTTCAGTAAATGCTTGTAAAATGGTTCTCCGACGATTTTGTTTGCATTCAATTTGTGCTGCACAAATTCATTTGAATTCGAAATTCGAATTGTGTAGAAATTGTGAATGTTTCATTGTTTTGAATGTGACTCAAACCGACCTTTCTTCTTTTTGCTGGGGCCTTTTGTATTGACCAGCGTTGTAACTTGCAATACAAGTGGCTCAAGTGTTTTTTCCACCGACATTGTACGAATTTCCAAATTTTTTGGATCCCATTTCAACGATAGCGTTCCAAAATCACCAATCGAGCCCATTATATTTGTCAATTGAACTTTTCTTTTTGTTTATAAATTTCACTTCAAAATTCACAGAGTTTTGTACAAATGCAATATACACACACAAATTGTTTGGCGATGACTAACGCGAACGCCGTTTGACATGTAAAAACGAGACGAGAAAAAAAAACTAACACACAATGGAGTCAACAACGATGGATTGATGCACCTTATACATTCTGCTTTTGAAGGTGTGTGAATAGGTTTTTTTTGCCCTCTCTCTCTATCTTTCGCTGTACGTGTTGGGCGTTAATACATACTATGGATCTATTGGTGTTTTGTTTTTCTATCAGTGGTGTCGCTGGAAATTTAATGTTGTTTTCGATACATATACACACATATTCACATACCAATACAATAACAAAACGATTTCTTTTTACAATATGACCTGACATAACACATCAGTTTGCGCTGGAACGTCGTGAAAGTGAATAAACATACACACACATACTACTATGTGAAAATACTCATACTAGTGTTTCCCGATGCGAGACTTTCATTACGCTCTGACACATTCTTTGTGTTTATGTTTTGACAGAAAAATTATCGTTGGACCATCTAATCTATTCGATAGCAAATAAAATCGAATTTAATTTTTTTAAAGACATTGTGTTTAAACAAAAATTTAAGAAAATTTCAAACATAATGAATATACGATATCGTAAGTGTTGCTGGAGATTAAAGGGTATTTTAATACGTTTAATAATGAATTTGGAAGAAAATTGTTATACAATAGTTTTTTTTCCACAATTTTCAGATTATCGGATGTACCGACTCATAAAACTAGCCCTTTTTTGAAATCAAATGATTAGATAAACCCGCATCTTCGACTTCGATAAATTGTAGCTTAATTTTTTTTATAATAGACACACATTTTACTAAAAACTCTACTTGACTATCATCAAGTTGTCAATAAATATATTTATTAGTCATATATGACTTCAAAAATGCGCTTTCAGCTATTCACAATTTATTCTCAGCGAATGATTCTTATCGGTTTCAAAAATTATTTGCAATTACCAATTCGTTTCACATACACGAAAGCCAGCGCTACAGTATAGAATTAGCAGCATTTAAATTTTAAACTATAGAAGCGACTCAGGTAAAAGCATATATGATAATTTGGATGTGATTGAGATGATGATCCAGAGGCGGATGGATTAAAACTCATTATCTGAGAGAAGAAACAATTGGAAATATTTTGATGTGATGATTTAGAATAAATCTTGGATTAACCCCATCTTTAAAAAAACTTCCATCTTTACGATATAAATATAATATACAGATAACGTATGCTATTAAATAGCAGCTTTTCTCTGAAACTCTTTTACCAAACATTTTTTTTTTTCATGTTCAATTCTTTGTTTGAAACAAAATCTAATAAACAAATTCAATTTCTATTGTCTTTCTAATTTTTGAACATCTAACCACCTTGAAACTTTCCTTCAAAAAAAAAAAAAAAAAAAACAAATGATTTGAAGTATGTCATTGTAGAATTGAATGTGTTGTAATTGGCAGTTAAAAAACCTTACAAAAGCTCACCGAAAAAACCACTCAAATGAAAAGGTTTTTGAAATTGAACGGCTATTCCCAAAAAGTTCACAGAAAATAAGAAAGGCATATTTTTTTGTTTATTTTATGTTTTCATTTTTATTTCCAACAACTAAACATACAAACATAGATTTTTCTGTCAAAGTTTTACCTGTTAATATTGTATAAAAATTCAGTCTTATTAATCGATAAATCATTTTTTCCAATATGTATCTAATAAGATTCTATGTAAAAAAAAATAGTTTTCGATTTATTTGATTATTGTTATAGTTCCCATATGGACTTTCTTGCATCTCTTCTTTCTATTTTTCAATTTTTTTTCGATACAGTTTTCTTTTTTATAAATAATATTAAACGGTGTCGGTATAATCAATTTGATTAAAATAATAAATTATTATAAATTCTACGTATTGGGTGTGTAGGAAATGTTTCTTTAGATATTTAAAAAAAATGAAATTCAAAATTGTTGCATTTGAAAGAGACAAGTTTGTTGTTGTGATACTACAACACTTAACACTTGGCTAAATAAAATTTGTAATGCCAACTGTCTCTTTGTCATTTTTCTTGTTGCTTTTTCTTTTAAATTAATGCATAAATGTGTTATTTTTATGAAACCTACACATAAATATGTACAAATTAATTAAATAAAATATGTCAATTTATGATTGTGAGAACATAAGTTGACGAATAATGAAATGTTTTGAAAAAAAAACTTCTGAATTCTCTCTCTCTACACTTATTTAGCTTTTCATTTTTTTTTTTTGTTTCACATATGAAATGAATGTTATAAATATGTTTTTGTTTTTTACATCGAAATCACAAAGTTCATATATATGTGATCACAATAACTATAGTCATTTTCCAGTAAATCGCATATAATATAAATAAGAACATGAAAATATGTGTAATATTCTTTAAACTTAAAAAAAAAATTCGACTTCTTTTCGTTGCATTAATTATTCAGAAGCAGCAAATAAGTCCTTGCCGTAAATGTTTTAATTGAAAAAGTAAAGGAAAAAAATACTATTTTGATGTTAACTATAAATAAAATGCCTAATGTATGCGTGGCGTTAATGCAATTGGATATGTGTCTGTCGGAACGGCCACACATCCCGGATACATTTTGATCAGATTCTTATCACTAATGCTTACATTGTATTGCTGTAAAATATTCGCTATCATTATAAAACTAAAACCTCGCACCAAATTCTGTCCGATGCATGTTCGTTTGCCTATGCTGAATGGAAGAAAATATGGAATATTTTTGCGAACGCGTAATTTAAAATTGTCGTTCGGTTGATCGATGAAAGTGGCTGTGTCAATCGGTCGTACCTTACTACTGCAACTGTTGTGCGTAATTTTAGCATTTTCTATATTGTCTTTTGTGTGTTCGTTGTCGTCGATTTTACTGGCATCAATATCATCACATTCAACACCAGAATCGGAAGCCGAATCTGATTCGGATGTCAAACTATTGAATGTATCAATTGGCTTATCATTATGTGTAGCATTTATTTTATGAATTGGTACATATTCGAGAAATCGTTCCGGTTTAAATTGTTCGGGTTCGGTCCAATACTTTGGATTCGTATTCAATTCATAATTATTGACAAAAACAATTGTTCCTTTTGAAATTCCATAACCTGAAATGGCAACATCATCGGTAGCAACATGTGGAACAATTGGCGACGATGAATAACGTAAAACTTCATAAATTGTTGACACAGTATATGGCATATTATCGATATCGAAGAGTGTAACTTTGCGCAAACCATTATCGGTGACACGATCCACTTCGTTTTGAATGCGTTCACCAATTTCTGGATAGATAACAATGTAGCCCATGATCAGCATTACCAAATTACCAATGGCCGAATGACCGCCGAGAAAATCTTCCAACATGAAAATAATTGTGTTACGATCAACTTCCGGATCTTGTGCCAAACTTCGGAGCAATGCATCGGTAAAATCTTTTTCCGGTTCATCTAAGTTCAATACACGTTCACGTTGCTCGATAATTTGACTGAGAATGAAATGGCGAATATTTGTTGACCATGAGGATAACTGTTTCATGTGCCCATTGTAGAATGGTGCGAGCCATGGAAGAAAATCAACTGCATAACCTTGATTTATTTCCCAGAATATATCATCAAAATGACGTACAATCCCTTGAAATTCCGTATCATCGTAATCAAATCGCGTTGAACACATATACTGACTAAACATATTAAAACATGTCTCATTTATCATCGATTTTAGATGGAAATCCTGGCCAGGTTTAATGCGTTCACCAATTTTATTCATAAATTCTTTCATTTCATTACAGCCGACATCGCTCATTTTTGCATAATATGATGATGTATCACGTGGTGAACAGTGTTTGCGTGCAAGATTCCGACGTTTTTGCTGCAACGGTGACCAATCGCACAATGCCAATGCTATATTAAAACCGAAAATAAAACAAACAATTATTTAATATCAAAACTAAAGTAAATTTTTATGTAATGAAAACAAATGCTTTTAACGAATATTTAATGACATATATATATATAGAGAGAGAGAAAAATGAACCATAAATTGCCAGACAAAAACGCTATATATATTTTATATTTTACAAAAACGGTAATCAAGTGTTGTTGTTGCTTTTTTTATCAATGAAACTGTGTCTTTTTTTTCTGCACACAAGCAATGTTTATGTGCCGGCAAACTGTGCTGCTGCCAAACCATTTTGAGTAATGGCACAACCATATGTGACGAATTCAATAATGTACTCATGTGTGAAAAGCAAACAGTGCATCGAATTAGATAAATAGAAGCATGTGTTTCTGCTTCTGTAATTCTCGGCTTAAGATTATTACTCTATATATGCCGGTGCACTTTTTAAAGAAGAGAAAAACAACTTTCTTCATCGTAATGGCGGAGCAAAGAAGATGACAAAGTTGATCACTGTGACACAATATCTATTATGTATACTTAAGAAAAAACTGTTTCTATTCTATATTTGCACAAATCGAATGGTCCGAACCGAACCGATTTATTGTACTGTATTTTATATGTAAAGAAAAGTAAAACAGAAAACAACCGGGGAAGATAAGAAAACGAAAAAAAAAAGACACTGAGGTACAAACAATCGAAAGACAAAGGAATCGATGGTGATAGCACACATCTTGGCTATATGTATTTTTACCGGTGTGAATTCCTGCTGATTGCGATCGCTAGACGTCTTAAAAAAGCGAATAAATAAAAAAAAGGCAAAAATAAAGTAAAAATGATATTAAAAAACCGCACACACAAACATCATCGCATAAACTTAGTTCAGACATTGCGTTTTAATGAAATGAAGAAGAAGAAACGATACAATAAAAATTAAATAAAATTAAAACCATCATTTCATCAAGTGGAATCTTTCGGCTGTCGCTTCTCATACCGTGTATTATTCAATCTATAAACAACGTATAAATACACAAAGAGTGCAACCAAATACTGTACGAAAGAATGAAAAAAGCAATGTGTGATGTTAGCTAAGATCAGTTTTTTTTTCTCTCCTTTTGTGAATGAAACTTTTGCGACTAGCGTTTTTTTTATCTCTTTCACAATATGTTTATTCTTGGTGTTTCTTTTAGTTTTTCCCTCATTGTTTCATTTTATTATTACATTTATAAAGAAATAGACAATATTCTGTTTTTTTTTATTCTTAAATTGTCTTTCGAATGCGGTCGTATCGTTTGAATCTCGATTTATCCGCGTTTCGTTTCTTTTTTTCGCCCCAGTGAAATAGCGAGCCTATTTACCAATTAGTATTATTATTTATTATTGTTGCTGTAATCATTTTTTTCTCTCTCTCTTTTCAATATGTAATGAAATCAGTACCACGTTGGTATTACCAACGAAAGAATTGATGAAGAATTTTACAGTAGCCGTGTGTGTGCTCTGTCGATCGATGTACAAATGCAAGCCATTTAAATATTTCGTTATGTAAACACAATGCCTAATGATTGATCAAATATGATATGGTCTTTAAATAGTTGATAGTTTTATTTGAGAACCGATGATAATATCACAATGAAAGGAATTATTCTTTTGTGCTCGAACAGTTTATTTTAACGACTGTTTACATTGAGATCTAATTGTTTGGTTAAATAATAAAGTGCACTGATTAGACGACCAAAATAAAGTTAAATAAAATGAATTCATTATTTGAATTAAAACCATGCGCATACGTTTCAGTGTGCGACTCACTGAAATTTCGGTTGAGGCCGAAACATTGTCTCACTTTTTTTTTACTTCTAATCTTCTAATTCAAAATCGGAATGTTCAATGTTGCAATCGAATATGGTCAGTTTATAATTGAATACACGCTGAGTGAAAGGGCAATTCCAAATGAGAAAAAATTGATCAAAGTTCTGATTACGTAATCATGTGCATCGTGAATGCTTATCATCAAATCAAAGTTCTTGTGTTCTTTAGTTGTTGTTGTTGTTTTTCATTCGTTCGTATTGTTTTGTTTTTTTTTTCGCTGCTATTGTTAATTGTGATCGAGTCGATACACATGGTGCGCGGCTAATTAATCGTATTGGTTCTAGATTTCTTCCGCAATTTAATTTTTCTTTTGAATGCATTATTGATTTTCCGTTTTCGTTTCATATTTTCTTCTGACAGACGTTCATTGCAACCATCTGGAAACTATCTAATCAAATTGGCAATACACAATAATGTGTAATGGGCTGGTGCTACTTTTTATTTCGATTGGAAAATATGTGTGTCCGTTTGCGTGTCCATTCCGCTGAGACAGCGTGAAATGAATGCATGTTCTTTGTCGATTAGATTGTTTTTGTTTTATCTTGAAATTCAATGCGCGCACGCGCTCAACACTTCCGCACATTCATCATTTCTTTTTTTAATAAATAAGCCTCTGGAAGCTGAATAAAGATATATAATGTGCATCAATCAGATCTATCAAACATGGTCTTCTTTCAATTTCATTTTGAATTTATTCAGATTGAATTGCAGAAATGTGAATTTTTAATTTGAAATGTTCTAATTGTTTAACAGGTCAAAAGAAATTTCATCAAATGTGTTAGCCAGTGCACATGCAATGAATGCGATTTTTACATTCGTTCACAGTGATCAAAGCTTGCACTCTGTACATGCATCGAAAATAATTGCACACATTCGATATTGAGCCCTTTCTCATATCACGTATATATTTTTCCATTTCATTCCAATCGAATACCGTTCAGATTGACAGTGGTGACAAGAATGATTGTTAATTATTGCACGTTATTTGCAGAATTGGCAATAACAAGTGAGCGCAAAGTGTTCGGCATTGTCGATCATCATTTCGGTTTATGAATGAATTGCATGAATTATGTATACGCACAATATTGTGCATGGTGTTTTAATTCTCTTGCACGATGCTGTGCTTTAGTTATAATGATTATGTTTATGCGCCAGACAATGGCCAGCGCAAGCGTCCAACTACACACATCGACTTCAATTGAATATTTGCACATTTTTCAATCCGATATAATAAATAATTAGACAAGTTTTTTGATTTGTTTATTAATGAATGTAAAAAACAAAAACAAAACAAACAAACAGCATTGAATTGGTGGCGCGATTTTCACGGTCAGTGGAATCAAACGAAGTGAATACGAAATATAAAAATACAATAAATAATAAATTTTTACCACGAAAATAAATCGGCGCATATAATATGGTGAGCATAAAAGCCGCACTTGTATCCGATTGGATTGCAACGGATGAAAGAAAAACATGCAATTTCAACTTGTTGTTGTTGCTTTTTTTATTATTTTGTTTTAATATTTTTAGCAGAAAAAAGAATAATTCCGTCTCGTGTACAATCAGAGAGCCTGAAGTTCTTTTTAATGAAATTCTTTTTCTTGAAAACATCACAACCACACATTGAATTAAAGCCACTTCTTTAGTCTATTATTTATAAAATATATATCAGTTTTTTTGCTTCATACGTCACATGAATTGTGATAAACGGAATAAATATATTAACTACCAATTTCACTATTAAAAAAATGAAAAAAAATACTTACAATTTCCGCGATCACCGCCAAATAGTTTATGGAATCGAATGAAATCAGGACGTGCACCGAATGATTTACCATTTTGATTAAGAACCTCCCGAATCAAGTCTAAATTGTTCACAACAATGCACCGGGTTGAGCCGAGCGTCATCGAATAGATATCACCATATTTTTTCGCTAACTCGGTAAATGCAATAGCTGGTGCCGCATATTTTCCTAGCTCAATCAGATTTCCAATAACGGGCAAAATGAGTTGCGGACCAGGCGCCTGTGCATATTCATTAACGGTGATTTTTTGCTTTTGTTGTCCGTTGGCCGCTTTTACAGTTTCAACCGTTACAATTTTGACTTTTCGTTTGGCTTCGTACAAAACTTTCAAATAATTGAATGATGACAATGCAATGGCACTGATCATCAAAATAAGTGTTAACAGAGTCATTTTTTTTGCTTGCTTCTGATTATTTTGCCTTTTTTTGTATTGTTTTAATTGGATTCTTAGTTTTGTCAGCAAAAGCAAAAAGAAGAAAAAAGCGTCCACCTTATATTTCGTATATTTTAACAAATCTGTCACTCAAATTTGGCGATTGCAACTTTGTGTAATTTTTTAAAAATTAAACGAGAAAAAACTGGCTCTTTTTTAAATCAACGCAATAAAATCACTTTGATTAAAACTTAAAGAAAAAAAATAACCGTTTTATTTTGTCGTCGTTACAAAAAATTAAATCTGTATTGTAAAATTGAACAGAAAATTTAATTTAAATCATGCAATGGAACACCTTAATTCGCAAAACAAAATTCGTATTAATTTTTTTTCCGTTGATCGTTGCAGTGAAAATCATTCGCGATTGAATTCTGTGGCCTGAGTATCGTTCTTTAAAAAAATTGTTATGCTTGTCTCTTGTGTCCACTGCGATCTTCAGGTACCAAAAATGTAAACTGAATGGTTTTGGTCGACAACGTTCGTTTATATATGTGTCGAGAGACCAGATTGCCACTAAAACAGTTCTTTTTTCATATGTATATACATATATTTGAGTATGCTCAGTTCAGTTCATATACTTTATGCTTTTTTTCTTTTTTTTTATTATTATTGTTATGATTATAATAATTATTGTTATTTCAATTTCATGCGATGGTAGCATTCGTGAAGAAAACGATGAAACGATGATAAAAAGCAGGAGAAAAATAACAACATACTGTGTATGAAATCTCTCTGGCGTACATATATGTGAGGAGAGCAATACGTGAGTGTATTGTATCGGTTGTATTGCTGTATCCAATGGATCTGTCTGGCCAAGAAGGTGTATCAAGATATGTGTGTGAATTTAATCATCGTTGAGATATGAGGAAAAGACTTGACAGTCTTGTTAGTGATTTTTCAAAGTTGTGTCGAATGCTCTTCTCTTTCAGTATCAATGTCTTTTCTTTTTTTATATATACGTATATAATTCACATATGTGTAGTGTATGAATACAGTATGATTTGGTCGTTTGTGTAACACGTATACAAAAACACGCGCCGCCGTCTCCGACTGCTAACACTCCAATTAAATTGCGGGTGCTGTTGCCTTCGATGTACGTGTGCACGTTTCTTTGATTGTGTGATAAATTTCTCTCCTCAAGCCAATCGTACTGTACTGTTCCTCATACCAAATAAGTGAATAGCTGCGCTTTTCCATTTGATGAAAATTGTTTTGTACCAAATGAAGGGGCTCTCGGCCGCTGCACAAATCCGTTTTTGTTATGTGTTTTTTTTAAATGTTTTATTATTATTATTATTATTTTGTTACAAGGGATGCCTGAACTGGATCGTAACTTGAGCTTATTTTAACCGAATATCAATTTTGTATTTGTATTTTTATTGGATCACACAACATCACTCGACGAATTTACGAATTAACGACGATGTGCTATTGAAACACCAAACTATTGTTCTTGTGAAGTATTGAAATTGAACTATTATCAAACTTTCTTTTTTTATTTTTAAATGGCATCAACTTGATGACGTTTTTTTAAATTACCTCAACAAATTTTACTGTGGAGGTTTTTGATGTACAAACGGTTATCGATCGCAGCCAAAATCAAAATGAACCAATGCACAACTTGTGTTAGAGCTCACAGTGAATGAATACGAGCAGAAAAAAACCGAATGCGCAATGTAATCGGCACAAAAAAAAGAATGAACACAATATCAAAAGAAATGTGATTCAAAATGAAATGCATATATTTGTGCCAATTTCCAGACATATACATGCATAAATATATGAGATTTTTTTAAAAAAAATCGTTATATGTGTTTTTATACAGAACATGAACATTACATCGCTTGAAATTATGCGGCTTATCCACGTTTTCGCTATAATTGCTTCATACTTTTTTTTTTGTCAAATAAAAAAAAACGATTAGCAATCATTGGTTACTAAGTTGCTAAGCACTTGACATTTCCATGCACGATGATTCAAAGCAATTACATGATTCGTATCGTTTAAAATTGATACTTTAAGAAAATTGTGTGCAATTAAATGTATTTTATACTGTTTATTACTTTATTTTGTGCGTGTTGTCATCAATGTCTTAATTCTAAAACATTTTCATAAGAATGCATGGAATTCGAACAGATTTGATCTATAATCATAAATCGCACATTAAAATTTGAATATATAAAAGCACAATACAATTTTATTTTTCGATTCGTAAAGCCCATTCTCATAAGTTCGAATCGCGCATCTTCAGCGTTAAATGACTTGATTTAATGCAGTATGTCAATGTGAATTCATTCATTGAATATGCACGTGAGCAGATAAAAATGTATGCCGTTCATGTGTGAAAGAAAAGAGCGAACTTTGAGTGTAAAATTGGAATTTTTCCGTTTTTTGTGCAATAAAAAGAATTCCAATAATTCTCGTGCGTATTTTCGATTTCATTCAAGATAAAAAAAAATTACACACCAAATGGAATCGTGCACTTGTTCGATTCTATGACAGTCACAAATGTAAATGTAAAATTGACGACAGGGGAAAAAAAAACTTTGCCAGTTTAAACCGCAAATATTTTGTTCGTTATTGCATAGATGTGAATGTGTGTGTGTGTGTGTGTGTTTAAAATGCAATGGACGCTCGTCAACATAATAAAATATATGCACATATATAGATAAACAGATTATAATTGGATGAATTATCCCGTAATAAAATATCGTACGCAACACGTGCCACTTCAGCATTCGCGCTCTTACTGTTTCATTAACAATTATTTAATTATACCTTCATATACATAAAAAATTACAACACAAACGAAAAAAAAAATATGTTCAATCAACTCTAAATGGAAAGCTTGGCAGTTTTTTTTTTTCATTTCGAATATGGCTTTCGTTTTGAATGCTCGTTTGATACAACGTGACTTGACGCGCGCGCAGCAACGAATCTATTGTGTGTATGTGTGTGTGTGTGTGCTTTTTTATTCAATGCAACTCTTTTTCTTTGGGTGATAAGAAAAATTTAAAGAATTGCCACTCGGTGTACTTTTTTCTGCGCGTTGTGTCGTCGTTAATTACGCGATATTCTCATATATTTAAAATATGTTTATCATTTGGCACTCGAATATTGTCTGGTGTTTTCTTCTTCGTTGCCTTTTTTTTTAATTCGATGTTTACCGTTCAACAACCCCTCACTGGCTTGTCGTCTCAGTCTTTTGTTTCATGAAAACAGCCATTGAATGACGACGAACATTTTTCACAAAACTTTTTCCTTTAAAAAGTCATTCTTGTGGGTGAGGCGATGTTTCTCCCTTAATTTCAGACAAATTGAAAAATGACATTTGACGCAGATCAAAAAATGTTCGTTTCACTTTCTTAATGAAAATCAACATCAATCACACTGATTACAGAATCAACATAAAACAAGGGTCAGAATTATTATTTCAGAATTGCCATTCATCGATGGGATTTTTTTTTTGAACTTGAATTGATCAATATGCAAAAACTTCTTTGTTTACACTTTTTGTTGACGTTCTTGCCTTCATTTGCTTTCGCTAATAGTACTTTTCACAGTTCTTCTTTTTATAATAAAAATGAATTCTTTTCATAAAACAAAATGTGTGTGGAAAAATTAGAGATACGAACAAAAAAAAAAAACAAACAAAAAAAAACAAAATATCGCAGGGATTAAAAGTTGGAAAAGAAAATGGTTTAAAAGTTGTCAACCGGTTTTGGTTTCATTTAAATGCCATATCGAATTTCTATATTTAAAGCACATGAAAAATTAACTGAAAACGCAAAAAAAAAATCTGTTTTAAATACGCATAGCGACCACTATTTGATTAAAACAGCACTTTTATTTTTTTCGTACACTGAATGTGAACCGGAGAGTGCATTTTGGTTCAACTCCATTTAAAATTCGATGAAAATCGTAATTTAATTTTAAAATCAAGGCGATAAAATGAACAAACTTCCTATAATCACAACAAAATAAAAAATAAACAAAACTCTGTCAATCGACTCAATATTTCAAAATGATCGATAAAAATTGAGATGTCATTGGAATGAGCGTGATTTGAGATCACAAAATTGCAGTTTGGATAGATTGCTATGTGTTACAGCAACAGCAGAAGTACAGCGAATCGAATATGCATGCGTGTGCGTGTGTGTGGTGCGTACAAGTTTAATTCGAATTGTACAATACTCGATCGAATGTGTGTTAACATTTTGGTTTGCTTTTTTTACTCTTTCCTGATCTGAATATTGGACCGATCACATATCCACACAATATCATCTGCATTGAAGAAAAGGAATTATGCGGATGATTTATGGCCGCAGTTTGAATTGTAATTTTAATGCCTCTTTATTTATTTTTCCTTACTTATGTTCGCGCGAGCGATTTTTTACTGTTCAGTGTTGAATGTTTGCCGGCAAAGCTATGAATTTAATACGGTATAAGCGTGATTGTGGAAGCAGCGCATGTTCCCTCCATGAATTGATTTCAAAAAAAGGAAAATAAGATTTATGCTTTTGATTAACTAAAAAAAAATTAGGTGATATTGAAATTAAAAATTCAAGGTGGTCTCTGAGTCGAGGTTGATTTATAATTTTTTTTTTCGTTTCTTCTCTCGTTATTCTCGCCGTCGTTTAATACTTCATTTTTTTATATTCCACTTGATTTATGCGTAGATTCATTTTTATCATTTTTTTTGCAAAAACTGTGTGAACATTACCCGCAAATTTTTTTCACTCTCTCTCTCTCTCAGTTTAATCGCATACACTCAAGCTCGATATTTTGAATGGATAAGAATTGGTATACTGTATTGTGATGTTCATGTTTGTGTTTGAAGATAAAATGAAATTGTGTTGGTTTCCTTCTTTGATCCTACTTGGTGGCGCACTTTTGATTAAATCGCATTTGTTTGGGATTCTCACCATAAATTTTCAATAATTCTCTTAGTATGTTAGAAGAAGTGGGATCTTAATCTATATTTGAAGGACTATGTTCATAATATTTGCATCAATCAGTAGATTTAAATAAATTTAGACGGCTAGTTGTTGTTGGTACCAAATAATAAATTGACAGTATTTCTGGCGGTGTATTTTTGTTTTTATTCAAA